ACATTTGCCCGCCTTTTCGACTTTGTAATTTGTTTGGGGGGGGGGGCAGTTGCCCCCCCCCCCTGTCCCCCCGTCCCGTACGCCTATGGACCCGTCATTATTCACGGTTGGTAGTTGATGATCATAGTATTACAGTGGGCCTGGCTTGTCAGGTTGAGTTGCCCGGGGAACGCCGTCCCCCACCTTTTTTACCAGGGGAACGGCGTCCTCCCTACCAAAATCAAACGTGGGGGAACGCCGTTCCCCCTGGCAGGGATTAAATATGAGTGAAGTTCAGTGAACACCGCTTGACACCATCCAAATAACTTTGGCATCACTTGTTCTACATACGTGTTATTTTTGGCAATAATTGCTCAGCGTCCTACGTAGACATATTTCAGAACGTAATTGTGTCACTATTTTAATCTCTCTGAAACTTGATATACTTGCATAAAATTCTAGCAGACTAGCACAAAAATACGAGAGTCTGATAATTGACGTCCGCTTAGATAACTAGATAAGTACTTACCAGTCATAAGCGCGGATAACGTCTCTCGCGCAATCGCGAAATTGAACATTCAAATGAACAATAAAATGATCAATGGGGACATAAAATGATTCAATAAGAGCATTAACATGATTGAATGGATAGGATAAAAGGATAGCTATCATCTAAGCTTATTTAGTTACTCGCGAAAACGTCATATTCAACTTGCAAAGTTTCCAGTTTGCCGAATTACTCACATAGCACTAATTTCATCATTCGAAAGTCGGTTTTATTTTATTTTTGACATTTACCACGCGCAAGCTACGTGTTTTTTAGGTGCATGTTGTACTAAATCCACTTCAAATATTAAGCTATTGCGTATGTACTTGTTCACTATGACTATGCATAAGGCCACGCCCAATCGAGTGACTACGCCCATTTGATTTTCAAGACCGTCCCCCTACTTCTAAAATTAGCAAAACATCGCTGGTACGTCTGAGCCGGCGTCTTGGTATATTATGGTTGATAGTTGCTGATCACGATTGTATTTATTGGTTGTAATTATATGATCCAGTATCCCTATGATCCTGTATCCCTATCTACTTCTCTACTACACATTACACCCAGTACCACGAAAGTTGCCATTTCCAGGCCAGTGTGAACGCCTGAGCAGGCGTCTTGTTTATCCCAGAATCACTGAACTGTTACTGTATGAAACTGAATCAATGCATTCCGAAAACGGCCTAAGCAAACCTGCAGCATTGAAACATACTTAATATATTTCTAACAAAACTATTGATTTAATTGCATTTAACGAGACACGGCTTGATTCAAGTTTTACTGATAACTTGATTCATTTAGACGACTATTAAGTTATGTCATGAAGTATTAACGGGACCAGATCTACTAAATCCACTGTTTGGTGTGTTACTCAGGTTCAGACAAGGACGTATAGCACTATGCTCAGACATTAAAGACATGTTCCTGCAGATGCGAGTAGTAGAAGAAGACCTTCCAGCACTACGGTTCCTATTCAGAGATTCGAAAGATGAAGAGCCAAGTGTATACCAATGTTTAAGAAGACCTTTTGGTGAACGCTCAGCACCCACCTGCGCCAATTACATAATGAAACGAAATGCGGAGGACTTTCAACAGCAATACCCAACAGCCGCTGAAGCTGTGAGAAAGAATCTCTATGTCGATGATTCACTGAATTCGCTAGACGATGAAGACGAAGCCGTTGCCTTACGTCAAGAACTAACCGAGCTTATGAAACACGGTGGTTTCACTCTCACGAAATGGTTAAGCAATAGCCAAACTGTGATGAAAGAGATCCCAGAATCTGACAAAGTTCCAACGAAGGAAGTGAAACTTGGTGACTTACCGACATCCCAAGCTCTTGGTGTGCATTACAACGCTCAGACGGACAGCCTGCACCTATCAGCTCCAAAGAAACCTCCAGCCAAGACACCACGGGAGATCCTAAGTCGCATTGCCTCAGTCTGGGACCCACATGGATGGCTAAGCCCGTTCACAATTCGAGGACGAGTACTTCAGCAGCAACTCTGTTTGGAGGAAGTAGGATGGGATACCGAGATTCCAGAGGACCAGCTCAGAGAGTGGAAAAAATGGGAAGACGAAGTCCAGGCAGTCGAAAGCATCATAGTTCCTAGATGCTTGAGATCCTCTGATGACACCCCAAGTGAGGTACAACTACATGTATTTTCCGATAGTTCGAAACAAGCAAAATATGCCGCAGGTTATCTACGCTTTTCCTATCCTAATGGCAACGTACATTGTTCCCTCGTCGCCGCCAGATCGAGAGTCGCCCCCAAGAAGAGAATGACCATACCACGCCTGGAATTAGACGCAGCTTGCATGGCGGTAAAGTTGGCACTCACGTTGATTGAGGAACTAGATTATCACATTACAGCGGTGACATTCTGGATTGATTCTATGGTCGTGCTTCACTGGATTCATCAACCCAGCAACAGGTATCGCGATTATGTTGCTCATAGAATCGTTGATATTGGAGAAGATCTCAAGAAGTTAGAAGCAGATGGTTAAAGAAGGGTGCAAGTAAAGTATGTTCCAACAAGTGTGAACATCGCCGACGCCGGCACAAGAGGGCTTAAACTTCCAGAAACAACATCTGAAAGCACCTGGCAATGTGGTCCTGAGTTTCTTTATCACGCTGAAAGTATGTGGCCCCGACGGCCTGACGAGGGGGAGGTAATCGACGAAGAACCGGAACTAAGAAAACAAGCCCATACACGGTCGACCGCAGTTGAGGAGTCAAAACAAGCAATCATGAACTTAAATCGATTCTCGTCTTTCGAGAAAGCAAAGAGAGTAGTCGCAAACGTCCTAAAGTTCATCGCCCTGACGCGTGAAAAGGTGAACGCGAGAAAGATTGGATCAACCCAAAGCCTCACAGCCGACAACTTGCACCATGCTATTACTTCAACAAGCACAGATCGAAAGCTTTCCTCGCGAAGTGGAAGCGTTAACTAATGGCAAACCAATAGGCAAGAATTCACGCCTAGTCAAGCTTTCGCCGTTTATCGACGCAACCGACGGATTAATAAGAGTCGGAGGCCGTATACAAGACGCCCCAGTAACATACGACACCCGTCACCCAATAGTTGTCGATGGAAAATCGGAGATTGGTCGCTTAATCATTACCGAATCTCACCATCGACTTAGTCATGGTCCAACCGACTACGTACTAAGCTGAATAAGGACACGCTATTGGCTAGTGAACGGCAGATCGGAAATCAAGAAATATGCAAATAAATGTCTCTACTGCAAAAAGCGAAGAGTAAAGCCGATGCAACTTCGCATGGGGAATCTGCCCAGAAGACGCCTACCTCCATTCATGCACACCATTGTTGACCTGTTCGGTCCAATCTACATTAAGCAGCGTCGAAGTGAGTTAAAGAGATGGTGCGTGTTGTTTTGCTGTGCAAATGTAAGAGCCATTCATTTGGAAGTAGCCGAGACACTTGAAACTGATGCGTTCTTGAACTGTCTCACTCGTTTTGCGAATCGCCGTGGCTACCCCAAAACGATCACTTTAGACCGAGGTACAAACTTTGTAGGAGCAGAGCGAGAGATGCGTGAAGGATGGGAGCGGCTTGCACACAATCGGATAAAGCAGAACCTTACCAAGCACGGAACTGATTGGAATTTCCATCCACCAAATGCCCCTCATATGAATGGAGCGGTAGAAAGATTGGTAAAATCCTGCAAACGAGCTCTTCATGCTATTCTTTTAAATCGACGCGTAGACTCAGATGTCTTGCATACTGCATTGGTAGAGGTAGAAGGTATCCTTAACTCACGACCGATTACACCAGTCTGCTCCGATCCACTTGACCTCGAGGCGCTCACTCCCAACCATATCCTAATCCATCGACCCAACCTGAATTCACCCTTCGACGTAGTGATCTTGATCGTGAGATAAACTCGAGGAAGAAATATCGGCAAGCACAAGTCCTCGCAAATATGTTTTGGAATCGATGGCTTAAATGGAAGCCATTATTAACGAAAAGAAACAAATGGACAGACGAAGTGAGAAATTTGGAGAAGGACGACTTAGTACTGGTTGTAGAACCTAATGTATCGCGTGGCATGTGGCCTCACTGGGAGAGTTTTGCGTTCGTTCCCTGGCAAAGACGGAAGAGTCCGAAGTGCAGAAGTGAAGACCCCGTCTGGAAATTACGTTAGACCGGTAGCAAGATTGTGTCTCCTGGAGGAAAACGAAGATGACAACTCTGAAAACTCAATCACCCAATAAATGGGATGTCTGAATTGAGGGGGAGTGTTAAGTTATGTCATGAAGTATTAAGCTTAGGTAACCGCTGATCGCAGTGACAGTCAGAAGTTTTGATGAAACGTAGAACGAACGTATTCGCACGTATATTTCCAAAAGACAAACGTATAGAAAGGGTAATTTATAGACTTTGATATTTGTTTATAGTTCTAGTTTATCTTTTTATGTGTTGTTTATTTATGTATGTAATCATTTCTTTTGTAGACAATCGAACAATAATAATTATAATATAACGTTGTGAACATTGTTACGACCCTTTACATGTGCCAGAGCTATCGAGGGCGTTAGAGTTTACGAGAACATCGTATTTTAGCCCATTGATTCGCAGTGCTCTCCTTTTGACGAGTAAAATCGTCTGCCGTTCGACAGAGTAAAATAATGAGGTATATGGCGCATCGGGGCCATTGAGGTTTAATTAAAGGGTTATAAAATACTCCCTAAAATAAACTCTTTCATGTAATTTTCATTCATTGCTTGCCACTCGTTTCCACACTTCTCGTAGTCAAGGGTACAGCGTGCATTTTTTTCAAAACCAAAAGATCCTGTTTGATATGATCTATTGGGCGAAAATTCATGTCCAAAGTACTTAAATATATAGAAATACACTTCATAACTCTTGATAGGGGTATCACTCTCGGAGTTGTTTTGGTTCTTGCAAACGATCTGTTTAATTCAGGCAAACAGGGCATATTGGGCGAAGCACGAATGCGTGTCTGATATCTCAGGCACGTATGAGGAGGGGTGTTGGAATGGGAACTTAATAGACAAGAAAGATGCTACTGTAATTGTTTAGCAAAACGGCAGTAATATTGAAACGCAGTTTTCTAACGTGAACTCCCATTACCAGTTAATAAATGTAATTTATACCTAGTAGTATGTATTTCTTTGTGTTACCTGTGAAAAGAGTGGACTACAGTCTACAGTAAACACATGGATTATTGAACCAGTGTTTTCAGAACCATCAGCCTGACACGAAGGCACTCAACCACCCAACATACAAGAACCACTTCAGGCAGCCATTACACTACACGCATGTCTAGATGCGTTGATGCTATCATGCACGTGCATGTTAAGTTGTACCAAATGCATGCGCTATGTAAGAGCAGATCATGTGTATAAACAATATGATATCACGTACTGTAAGGCAGTATACGGACCAAATCTTGCAATTTCTGTAGGCATTTAAATTACCGTTATGTTTCTATTATTTAGGTTTATCACATCATGGAAATCAATGTATGTTATTTTGTATCAGCGTTCGATCATACTACTGATTGAATTGATGTATGTTGGAATAATTTTCTTTTGGACTCATACACAAATTTTGGATATAGACATATTTGAAGAACTTTATTATTTTGGATATAGACATATTTGAAGAAAGGCTTATTAATGAGGTTAAGAATTATAACAATCAAATGCTAGAGGAGGAAAACGACGCGCTACAACAAAAATTAGAGGAAAGGGACGAGTTGATAAAAGAAATGAAAATGATATCATGCAATATCTTAGGATATCACACAGTATCTTAGGATATCAATATATTAGGATATCGTTCAGTATCTTAGGATATCAAGATCTTAGGATATCAATATCTCAAGATATCAATATCTTAGGATATCAATATCTTAGGATATCATACAATATCTTAGGATATCATACAGTATCTTAGGATATCATACAGTATCTTAAGATATTATACAATAACTTAGGATATCATACAGTATCTTATGATATCATACAATATCTTAGGATATCGTACAGTATCTTAGGGTATCACACAGCATCTTAGGATATCAATATCTCAGATGATGAAAGCAGCCACGATGACGAATCGGACAGTGAAACGTCTCAAAAAAGTGAAGATTTATATATATATATATATATATATATATATATATATATATATATATATATATATATATATATATATATATATATATATATATATATATAT